GACCAAGAAGCAACTAGATAAACAAAAAAAAAATTAAAAATATATTTAAATATCTTTCCGTTATTACAATTGTTATCTGGCAGCATTTAAGTTTAATTTGAATATTGTGTTGCCAAGAATGAATCATCCTGAAATTCGACAAACAAAACCACGCAAGACAACATCAAACGTGACAAGGAAAGCAGCTTAGGTATAAGTGGTACATAATAGTATAAACACGATAACGACTATGTCAGTGTTGTTCGTGTTAACTGGAATCAGTTGTTCAAAATATAACAATGATATATTATTTTGATAGATAATTAATGTTATCCATTTATAGACAATACAAAAAAATTACTGACGATTTTAAAGCGAATATATGTATATAAATGGGAACACATATTTTACGGCACTAGTAATGGCACACTCCTGGTAGCCTCTGATGAAGGTCTAATTATGATTTCTTTTGTTCAAAATCATTAACATGTCAACAACACTGATTAGCAGCCAGTTCAACAGAATTTCTTCCTAATTACATTGGGTAATTAGATAATTGCTACTTTTTATAGTATTTATCATGATGTAAATACCTTTTGGTTTATAACTGAAAGTACAGGCACTGGGCATGTTATAAATGTTCAAGCTGATTATTAGTCATAAAAAAGACCTTCAAAGAAAAGAAAATTCCCTGAAATTTTAATATAATTTTGAAGATATCCTTTCATCAGAGAATCGTTTCGATTCTAGTTTGTTGACGCCACTTCCCGACAATTCAATTTAAAGTTCGTTTTTTTAGTTTTTTTTCCTAGAAGCAATGCAGATAATTTGAAACTTACACGTCACTTTCGTTACAATGAGTGCGGATGTGACCACCCTGCTTTATCTATAAAATGTATAATTACTTTTCTATGTAGTAAGCACTCCTGCATTACCAATGCTTCGGGCTTATTTTTTTTCAAATATCTTTTATTTGATAAAATCAAACGGGATTGCATACATTGCATCCAGCTTATAAACATCCTCTCCCTTCAGATGATAAGAAAGTTCATCTAGTGTCTTTTTAACACGTTTTGTAGAAAACAAATGTGTGTAATCAAATATCCACTGCAGTGACAATGTCTGTATTAAAATTCGATCATTTTCCAGCTTACAGGACTGCTGTTGTGACCATCCGACATTTCCAAACGAATGCGTTTTATTGTGGAACAAGGAGAAAGTAAAAGTCGTCTTATATTTGTCAAGTCGTGGTGTCCGTTTGATAGTGAGTATGATTTATAAATTGTTGTCACAGTTACCATTCAATCATGACAAGGTATTATAAGTAACATACATTTCCACTTAAAATGCCGACGAAAGTACACTAATGTCCCATATGATAATATCATCTCTAGATTCTTTTGAGTAAAACACTGATTTTCAAAAATTGCACAATAAAGATTCGTCGTCTTTTTTTCATTAGTTATACATCTATAATATCAAGAATATCTTATTCAACAAAAACAGCTAGTATTCGAGCTGATGTGTTTCATGTTGTATGTTCTATACAGCCTTCTAGACGTGCAAGCATTGTAATATTCATGGATCGATAACAATTTATGCATAGAACGTTCGTTCCTAATTATAGTTACTTTTATTTGTGAAATAAGCCGAACTGTGTGTATACTAACATCACAGCTTGGCAGTGAAACAAACCGAACCGTCGTTGAGATGAAAACAACAACCTAATTACACTGGATATCACTAGATAGTTAAAAAGCTTTCCTACTGGTATGAACATTAATTTCAAAGTCTCGACAAAATATAAGACGATTTCTGGCAAGTTCCCGATTGTACAGATAAAAAATTAATGTTTTAATAAATTGAACATTGATTGTTTTCAGTTGTATATTTCATACGCATATTTTTTTCTTATTTTTTTTTACTTTGTGTTGATGAACTATATCCAACAGGAAATCATTAGATATACTCAATGTGTTACTAACAAAATAGAGCTGTGTAGTTGCAATTAATCAGAGCCATATATGGCAAACATAATTATACATGTGTACGGTAAATATCGATATGATATGTACTGATTGAATAGGACTCCGCCAGTATTTACAAAATTACCTACAAATCCCTCACGCCAGGCCAGGGATTTTCTCTTTGGATTCATTTCAAAGAACATTATGATAACAGAATTAATGAGGCTTATTTGTAATTAGCTCCAATACGTGTTTCCCATATCAACCTCTACATGACTCATATCACTCTAGTTATCTTGCACCGTATGCGTCTCAGAGAAAACGCCCTGGTTTTAATTGCACGGTAAAATATTTATGCATTAATAATATGCCTACAGGTATCAATTTAGTACTTTTTTCTTCTCTGATATTCAATTTTTACAAATGGTAATATAATTCAGTATCGTCAGAATGCAAAACATCATGAAAGAATATCCTGTCTGAAATTATACTTCCTGATATTTTTTATTTTTTAGTTTGTGAATAAGAAAAGAAACTTGTTATCGGTTTTGCATACATATTAAATATAATATTTACATGAGATAGGCTTGTCTTGAAGTCTGATATGTAGCCAGTCTCGGATATTAAATTAAAGAATTGTTAACTCCAGTAGAATTTCGTCAGGTATACTGTCAGAGATGTATGTATTCAATCAGACAGATTCGTGCCCAATGACTTCTCTGTAAAGTATATATAGAAAGTCTAGTAATGAAAACACAAGGCCCACGATAACTTCCTACACAGCCAGGGGATTTGTACCAAATATTGTAGCGCATGTTTACGCTGAACGTCGCTGGCGAATCATGGTGTATTTATAGAAGAATACTACCGGTATCAAACGCCGAGGAAGCCAAAAATAGGTGAAGTTTTGTAAAGTAAGCTTCTTGTAAACGATGCCAGTTGTAGATATGAAAATATCTACGCGGAGAGTACCAAGGTTCTAGATCTAGCGTATATAGCTGTTTAATTCACTGAAGCTGATACCGTTACTCATCTTCTCATTTACATCGAAATTCAATATTTACTTTCACGTTTTTCAGCTTTATCATGACTTAAGTTAAATTTGATTTAAAAAAAAAATAGAAATGCAAATGTTTACATATTTTAGTATATGATTATACGTAGCATGATCATTTCTATCCACATGTACAGGTTTGTATTTCATAACGGACCACAAAGAATAATGTAAAATTGAAGGAAACGTTTCAATGGCACGTCATGAAAGATCGGCTCCTGTTTAAATTTTTTTTTAATTTCAAATTTTGAGTTCCATGAAATTAATATTTTTCCCGTTTTTGTCATAATGCACCACAAAGTTATATTCAAACCAGGAAAAAAGTCTGAACCGAAACAGATTTTACTTTGATGAAACGAGTCTGCACATGATTGTAATATAATATGTCCCAACTCCCATTGTTATTTTTTCTCCTTTGTGTAATGAAGTATAATTAAGGAAATGTTTTTAAAAGACAACTTTTATACAGTTTTTAAAACCGACAAACTATGAACTATTGTGAAATTAATTATCTGCAATAGATTATTAAAATACCACGTGATGTTTTTGCTGTTAATTTATTTGCAGTATTCAAGTACCCAATGAAGTATATATTTTTTGGAAGTTAATCTCTAATCACACAAAATGTTCAGATAGATAAATAAGTGAGGAATGCCGTCAATTAATGTCTACGGAAATTGTGACGGAAATGTGATAATGTTTGAGCAAAATATCAACTCTTAGATTGTATCACTACATCGTGCATCTGTATAGTCAGTATTAAACTATAAATTTGTGAAAAATATGTGTAAATACGTGTACAGAAAACCAGTGAAAGAGGGTTCATCAATTATCATGGACTAATCTCCTGATCTATTATCGTTTCTGTATATAATTATATAAAAAATTAGTCGTGAATTACAACTTTTGCATTGAAGCATGTAAAAAACGTCTATAGCAGCATGCATGAGTGCTTTTCGCTTGTTCTATGATCAAAGTCCACTCTCAACACAGGAAAAAGTTTGTACACATCAAGGTTGAACATACTTATCAATTTCTAAGAATCAATTTGTTGATAGTCTAACTTATACTTTATGATAAACATAGCATGAGTAATGCACATTAAGTGTTGTATACAGATCTTAATAACATACTACTTATAAGGTCACATGAAAAAATATAATCCATTTGTTTCGTGCTATCGGTAAAATTATACTTATAATTAGAGATACTGCACTCTTTCTATTGGGGTGCAGCTGAGGCTGAAAATTTTTACTTCGTTTACAATAAATATTGGAGTTTGACTTATATCGGCTATGTTTAGTCAACAAAGAACAATGCTTTAACCATAATTCTTCAAAGAACAAATACGTCTTAAATAATCACGGTATCCAATACTGTAATTAGTAGGAACGTTTTTGTAAGATGCAAAGCTTGTTTTTATTGTAATATCCTGAGCTTGTCCCCAAATCCTGACCGACAGATACTTGAATACGGAAGTCAGCAAAGTCCGTATACAGACCTAATACTTTATGTAGTGGTTAATCATGCGGTGTGTCAGGCTAAATCGATAAGAATGTTGAAACAGAGTTATCTATCGACCCGTTTACACAATCATCTAGTCATCAACAGCTGAGGATTATCATCACTGTTGATATAACTTGAACTTGATACTACTCTTTGCTTAATAGGCATGTGACTCTCGATGGGTCGGTTTCTTATCCTAAACAATCCTGTCGTTATGTTATCATGCCCTGAAGCCTTTGTCAGAATCAAATGCCCTTAACCGATCGCGTTTCACTCAAAAGACCATCGACCGTTCCCGAGTATTCATAAGCTGTACCGGAACTAGCCGAAGCCGTGTTCGGAAAAGCTTTCACACTATGATTCATCTATTTATAGCAATGATGACCTCATGGTAAAATTTTTCCGGCTGTGACGTGTTAGCTATAAATGACTCCATTCATGCACAACCCAAACATTGTGTAGTGTGACTAAGGTAGTACAGGACGTGTATCTCTACTTCTATATTACTGTTAGAGACTAGAGAGTGAGCTTTATGTAGGTACAGGCACTGGTACGCCATAGTGTTAGTATAACTGGCCCATGTCGGTGTAGTAAGTCTCTCGTGGTGTTGTTTTTGGAGAATTTTACTATACATTATAGACTATGCCTGAGTGTGGGGATATAGATGTTTTGACCCCAACAGCTCTCATGACCAACACGATATTACCAGGTGGAAGGAGAAAGTTACAACTGTCCTTGGATTTTTCATCGTTAACAGATTCTGAAGATTTTCATGTGCCGAAAAAGCTTTGTAAATTGGAATCAATGAGTGTTTCATTGACAGGTCCTTTACAATTGAACTCTTTGGCCCCAACTCAAGCCTCTTGGCGGACGATACAACCTCAGGAACTGGCAGCAAGACTTAACAAGGTTCACAAATCGTGTCTTCTAGTGGACTGTAGGTCTTTTATCTCCTATAACGTTACACATATTCAGGGTGCTGTTAATGTAAACTGCTGTGACAGATTCAACAGGAAAAGGCTTCAGCAGGGAAAGGTAACTTTAGTGGATCTCATCAATTCTAAAGAAGCCAAGGACCAGTTTAAACGTCGCGGGTCGAAGGAAGTGATTCTGTACGATGACAGTACCAAAGACTTGCATCAACTGCCCAGTGACAGTTCTTTGTACCTGGTCGTTTCTTCGTTACTGAGAGAAGGCAAAGAAGTAATGGTTCTTCAAGGTGGGTAATTTATCTAAAAAATTAGAAAAAGTGATGATTATTTTTTGTGTGACAATTATGAACTTTTATTCAAAATTGTTTTAGTATAACGTCACAAAACTTACTATATAGTGTCTCATATCTGTTTAATATGTGAAATTATTCTAGATGTTTTATTCAATGATAAATATGGTTACCGTTGGTTATGTGTGGATCCTGAGGGGACGGGTGTCTTTTGAATGGAGTAAGATTATCATACATTCGTTTACACTTCTACATTTCCCTATGAAGAAAAAGTAATATGTTAACTGTGACAATGATATAATGATACTTACCGTTTGTTTATAAAAGTATATAATTGGTTATCATCTTATACAAGACCTTGTATATTTACCAATTTCTACTTCTAATCTTTTATCATAGTCGGTTCGAAATCTATTTTCGTTCACAATGCTATTTGATATTTCCTTCCAACACTTAAACGTGTCGTGATATCCGTCTTTGATATCAAATCCACTTATGAATAATTTTTTAATCTTCAAAAGTCATTTTCTTTCTTTATATTATACGACTTGACATTTTTATCCGTCAGAATCTACTATTAACTTGTTTAATCTTTTCATACTTAAATGTTTGTCCCGAACAGTACGCTGATGATTCATTTTCAAAAATGTCTTTCTTCTTTGAGTTAATTCCTCGAGACAAATAGTCCCATAAGGCATGTGATTTGTCTCCCTTTGTTGGCCGTGTATATGACCCCCTTCAGCCCTATGTGGCGCATAGTTGCTCGTGAGTCACTGACAAACAATCGCCGCCGTACTTTAGTCATACACTGTTCTCAACACTATAAGCCCGGAATGTGGGTACGATCAAGGCGATTTACAACTTTTCGTCGTCAATGGAGCGAAACCATCTCAAACCCTTTATCTGGAGGGTAAATGAACGCCATGTATTATTACTTAAATGGGTAATAATCATGATTTGTGCTGTAATTACAATTTTTATATACAACACATAATAATGAAGTCGACTGATGAGAGTTCGGGAGGTTGCTGCCCTAATCACCATAGGTCGCATTCCGATGTCATGATGAAGATTCCATACAAATGTTCACTGGAATATGAAAAGGCGTGAATGGTTGAATGGAAATATTTTCAAAATGTAAAAAAATGAAGAAAAAAAACTAAAAAAAAAAACCGAACAACTGTTTACTCCTCAGTGAAAATCGTGTATTCAAACATGTTTAAACCAGAAACAATTACAAGAATTTTAGACAGTTTTCAACTAAATTTCAAAGGACTATTGACAGAAGAAAAACGCGGAAATAAACCTTTTGAATATTTATTGAAAATTGTTTATAAAAAATTAGACTAATACCTTCTCTAAATCATTATTATTCTCACAGATCTTTACATCTTTCAAACGACTTAAAGGTCGCTTTGAGTAGATATGGAATGTAAACCAAATTTGTCAAAGGGATAATTGCTTTCTTATTCAATTAGTATCAAAATTCAAACACTTAGTCAGAGCAACCAAGTGAAAACGTGAACATTTATGACAAATCACCAATGGAGAGAATCTATTTTGCAATATATCTTAAACGAATGAAACGCAATGGATTTTTTTTTACCTTCTTTGTATGTCTTCAGTTATGTCAAGGTTCAATACAATTTAAATTTCTCCATAATAAATCGTGACAAGTGGTTTTTATAGGACATAATAGATATATAGTATCGATTCCCTATCATTCTGTTAGGCCAAGTAACCAGTGTTCTTTAAGAAAATCAATTAAATCTATTGAAATGTTTGTTTTCAAAACGGTATCCAAAACAGAGAGCAGACGACACTACGTCATACTAGACAACACCGCGTCAGATGGCAACTCATCGAGTTTCCCAACACCAAAAAACCACAAGCACTTTCACTAAATACGTTGAAAATAACTGAGACAAAAGAAATGTTTTCACTCATGAATTATTTGTCTTGTTTACACCCTGCGCGTGAAAGGAAAACCTGCATGGCAACCATCGATTTTAAAACATAGAAGGTTACCGTTTGTTTATTTTGAATTGTATTTGATAAGAATAGTTTCATGTCAACAATGTTCCTTTTAAAATAACATTGAAAATTGTTTTATTAATGACTTTGTTTCCTTTCTCACGGTTTTCATACAGATAACGTCCATTGTTTAAATATATATTCGTGTCTAAACAAATATTGGTGCTTGGCCCATATTTTTTTTAAAATAGAAGTGTTGATAAAGCCGGTTTTTACAGTTGCTATCTGAGGAAACTCCATAGCTTCATTTACAGCGTTCGATATTTACTTCCATTGAGGGAAAACCAGTTAGATCTAGCGCGGAACGAACAGCGCTAGTGATGAGTCATCGAGACACACATCGCCAGCTGACTTATAAGGTCTAAACGTGTGTGCTATTTTTACCCGACCCTTAGTATATACGACCAGGTAAACACGCTATATAGGTCTTGTTTACTTACATACTTACTTGTGTATACAGGCTGTCTATGCGGATACGACTTGACTAATGATAATCACACATGATGATTACGTCACTATTTGCGGTTTCGTAAATCCCCGATACATAAACATTCATTTTATGCGTGAATATCGGAGTGAAAAGAAACATAAATAAAGACCTTTTTATAGACACACTGACACACGATAAAAGATTCTATCATTGATTTGCTTTTCGATAACCCTAAATTTGAACATGTTATACACGTGTATATTATATTACGAATTCTAAATGGTACTAATTATGCAAATGGACTGAAAACGTAGGTGATTTGTACTTTTCCTCTGATATACATGTACACCAGTGCATCCACTAAAACGTGCACGAAAAAAGAAACATTGTGTTGAATGAATGGGCGTGTGTGCGATGCCTGACGCAAAAGCTAATAGTTATGGTTTGCGGTTAAGCACTTGTTGATTCGCGCCAGACAAACGTCATCAGGCATCCTTCCATACGAGATGGGAAAGTTGTAAGATAGTGTTGAGATACAGAGGATATTTATACACGTGTTCCGTGCCTAAATATATTCTATCCGCCTGAAAGTTAAGCCGGGATATCTCCTCTTGTATCTACGAGATGCTGTGATGAGACATTTTGTTATCTAAGCGGTAGAGGCTTCGCTCTGTGTGACCGATACCACGTGTAGATACAAACTCTTATTTACAGGTGTATTGCACTTACCGTGGAAAAGATAAAGCACTCAACATTTTGAAATACTTTTTGATTTAATAAAAATGTAGAAAAAAAACCGTTTTCTACGCAGTTTGTAAAAATCCACAAGGCATTCTGCGGGTATTCCGTGGTAATCGACTTTAGATTAGCGCTACACAAACTGGAGCTGAGTTAATTTTTGTGAATCAGTCATTTTCTGACGTTGCGTTTATCTTTATGTTTTGCAGGAGGACTCCAAGCCTTCCGGTGCCAATACGGTGACCTTTGCCACAGTGGGGTTAAAATCGTGGACTCCCGTCCTTTGTATTCTCCAACCACGGGAATAATTGAACCCCAGATTGAGGCTGCGGAGGCGACTCAAATATTACCGTTTCTTTATCTTGGTACGTGTATTTATACTGACACAATCAACATTTCGCGAAATCATTTCACTTAAAAAAGATTAAATATTTACAGTGTGTTTTCTTGTGTAACTGGTGCCAAGAAAATGTATTTAATTTCGGATGTTTTTGTTTTTTACAGGAAACGAGCGGGATGCGGCAAACTATAAGAAATTGACCGACCTCGATATCACATATGTGCTTAACACAACGTCAACCGTACCCAAGCACTTTGAAGACCAAGGCATTACGTACAAGCGTATTCCTGCCTCGGACAGTGGTGCACAGAATCTCCAGCAATACTTCGAAGAGGCTATCCAATTTATAGGTAGGCATGCGCAACACTTTACTTATAGGATAATCTAACTACTTAACCCGGATGTTTGTTCCTATGTTACACCAAAGACAAAAATTCGAAATTGTCGTTCATAGTAATTTTTGCTTAGTAAAAAAAGAGAGAAAAAATGGTTCACAAGTTCCTCTTATCAATAAAAATACTGTGCCAAGATAGATTGGAAATTCTTGACATTTTTGTCGAAGCGATCAACGCTTCGTATGAATTATCAACTGGTGACGCGGCATTAGTGGTTAAACACATCAACAATACATGGTTTAATTGGTACAATGAACTGACCTTTCAACCCCGGCATTGCCATAAATTTCTGATCAATTGATTGTTAGTTTAAATATTTATTTCCTGCTTGTGTTTATTGGTCAGATTTATGACTAAGACTCGAAGATATAAAATTACATTTATTTGAAAAAAATATTGATTATAAGGTAATGAAACAAATAAATAAATCGTTTTGCCATAACGAGACCTGTAATGCTAATAACATTTTAATGATGTTTTTAAAATTCAAACTAAACGAACTAATTTAAAGTGTCAAATTTTAAATTAAAGTTTGAATGCAGTCAATCGTGTGTGACGCGCTGATACAATCAATAGGGCTAGAGGTATCAACTTCGATCTGGTCCTGGAATGACTCACTCGTTTGTTGGGTCGATGATCGCCAAGCTCGCTTTGTCCCTTCAAGGGGCTGACATGTTTACAAATACAGTTTGCATGTTTAAGAGAGGGGCTTACGCGGACATAAATTATTGTTTGCGATGTAATGAATCAAGAGGTGTTTAATCTCTGCAACATGTTAGAATCTTCCCTCGGGCGCCCCAGTCAATGTCAATTTCTCACCTGCTGATGAATTCGACGACACACGTGTCCATTGTTAGGGGACAGCTGATGTCACGGCTGTAGGGGAATGACTCAGCCCCTGTCACGTGCCCAGTTGTCATGGAAATTGCATATCAAGAGGAACTATATAGTTTAATTATTGCGGAAGAAGAACTTGTTTTAAGTGAGACATATGGCACACGACTTTGTCCTAGTATCAAAGAAAATTTCCCTTCTGACTCATGTACTGCTATTTCAAACTTTAGGACAGGTGATACCGAAAAATGATAAACACTGCAGGAAAAAAAACAGCGAGTGCATATTTCTAAAGCAAGTAAATGGTGGTTCTTTATTGGGGAAGTAATGTTTGAATAAAAAAAACATTCATATCGCTTCTGTTGAAGTCGACAGATTTCCGGCGTAGTGTCTTAGTTTGTCATCAAATGGTGACACTGGAAATGATAATATCTCTATGTATAATTCCCGCCATTGACGCAACTAGATTATCTACAAAGTCTCCTTGACGAATGATAGAAATCATTAAAATATAACTTGTTTGTTCTATAGAGAGGGAAATGAGTAACGCCAAGGGATGATAGAGGGATGTCGCCAGTCGGCGGCCAAAAGCTGATTCATCATCGTAGCAATCGATATTTGTATATATATGCATATAAGTCAAAAACTAAAAACCTCTCGTATGAACGATTATAATACAATAAACATACTGGGCCATCTGTGGTTGTCACCAGCTGTGTGACTTAATAACAGTATCACTGTATTCTTGGTGCAACATGTTGTTGATATAACATTCGATATATATAGGTGGTCAGCTGCCTGAAAATCGATATTTTTCAAGGTCACTTAATGACATCACGAAGTGTTTTATCAAATCAGTGCGGGGAACGATAATTTTGTTTCTTACCTAAATAAATTTACATATCAATAGGGTGCGATAATAGAATTACATTTTCATTAACATAAGCAACTGGATAGAACAATATGAAAAAAATATTTAAAAAAACCCCAAATAAACAAGAAAACAGAAAAACAAAATGTTTAAATTCGTATAAACAAAGCATTGAAATGTCTATTTTCTTTTGTATTTTGAATTCAAATGAATCAGAATTAAGCTTTGCATTATATTAATGGTTTGTATGCTTTATGTACTTTCAGAGGAAGCTCGACAAAAGGAAGCACGTGTTCTCATCCATTGTCACGCGGGCGTCTCGCGCTCTGCCACCATCACCATTGCCTACCTCCTCACACGCTCATCTCTGAGTCTCATGGATGCATACCGTTTTGTGAAGGGACGCAGGTCCATCATCTCGCCTAATTTCAACTTCATGGGCCAGCTCATGGAGTATGAACAGTCTCTCAACAGCGGGTCTTGCTCGCGGGTTCTCACCCCGAAAATTGTGTAACATCCTCATTTCTCATCGTTCATTTGACATGTCTCATGATGTGCGAACCAAGTTTTGAGAAGACTTTGATATGGAAAAATTATGCAATAAACAGATTAACGCAAGGTGGCGTTACATACTCTTTACTCTTACGTCATCGTAATGTGCAAAGTATTTGGTGCAAAATTACCGCGGACTTACAATATTTAAATGACTTACTCAGATACGAAGGACTTAAGGACACGTTACAGAAATTGGATATAGACATTTATATTAATGCAAAATATCTTTAATTTCATAATCAGTGATATGTCCATTGATATACAAAATGTTGACTTCCGGTAAAAGAACTTCCGGTTGGAGATCAAGTGGTTGTAGTTATCATCAAATAACTAAATACACTACTCAGTAATCTCAGGGCAGTCCATCGCTTGCATTTTACACATTTAAAAAATGTATTTTGTAACAGAATGAAATCCATTTATTATTTCATTTAATGAAGATCGGCCAACTTACACCAGAAGACGAAATGTTAAATCCCAAACAAGAAATCTCAGCTTAATACTCCATATATATCATCGGCATTAATTGACCGATTTTCAAAATTAACAAATGATTCAGATTCTTGTAATCAATTGATTTTATTTTTGTGTAAACAAAAAGTCAGTTTTAACTTTTAACTTAAACTGTCGAAGTACACATATAGTTTCATGACGTATAACACTCTTGTCACGTGATAGGAAGTCATTCAACGCCGACATTCCTCGGTTGAAAGATGACCAATCTATTTACAAACTACCTCTTGTCCAAGTTAGTCAGCAAACCGGAAGTAATGACTTGGTGCGCCGAGCATTTTATGCCGGCAAATGTTTACTTCCGGTCGGAATCACTCGCTGGCCTTTATTACTAATTATTTGTAACTATGCATCACGCTCGGAGGCTGTCGCCACCACGACCGTTACCGACGGGTCCCAAATTAATATTACACATATGTATATAATAAGCGTATTTATTAAATCATTCCGTAATATGTTTGTACAAAGAGAGGGAGAAGTATGTGAGATGTTGATAATGTTGCTAGTCATAAAGATGTACGCTACCGCGCTGTTCCCACGGGTGTGTGGTAATGAATTAGTCGTGTGTGACGTCATCGTCTTCGTGAAGATTAGAACTGTTTGGTGTCAGTGGAAACAGTAAATATATAGTAGTGTAGAGTATATGTGTCCAACTGTGGCTGTTTTTTCATCTTTTTTTTTAAACGTCATTTTCTTAAATATTACTTTATAATCTTTCAAAATACTAATTCTACAAATATGACAAGGCATTGTAATAATCCAATGACCAATTTTTGAGAATTTCAACTTCTTATTCTTTCTTAACCAATTTAAGGTTTTAAAATCATCAAAACCCCTCGTCGCAATATTCCATTAACTCAATTATATAAACTATAATAACTTCAAAATCTTTTTAAAATTAATACCTTATAGAATATATTGTATCAATATTTTTGTAAATCTGACAGTATTATGGAGTAAATATTTTAGATGGTTACTTCCTTAACCATAAAACTGGCATTAGACACATCACTGCTGAGTGCTGAAACATAGTATATTTTATATTTATAAATTTATGTGAAATATTTTCAATTTGTTATTGAAATTTTTGATGTACGTGTATGTGTTTGGTGTAGTTCTTATTTGTGTCGTCAGAGGGCGTGCTATGTGTTAGAATGTAAAATATCAATGAAAATTTGATTAATGTGTGTGTGTATTTTGAGAATTTGATCGGGTACCTGACTCCAAACTTATAAAGTCGTTTCTATGGAACTGACAAAATAGAAAATAAAATATAAAAAGAAAAACAAACATTTGTGACTTTATTATTTGTTGTCATGCTGTATTACTGGACTTTGAGAGTTTTGCCGAATGAATAAATGATGATATGCAATAGAAAAAGGTTTTAAAATGAAACTGATCCCGAATAATGAATCAGCGCGTCATTGTGATTACAGATTCATGACGCGGTATGGGTTATCTGATCCCGACGTTCCGAAAGATAAATGTGTAATATTTTGATGAATTTCGTCAGCTGCATTCACATCCGCAGAAATGATTATAATTGATACTTGGATCCTAATATTTGATAATATGGCTAATCATAATTTATAGAGTTTTGGAAACGGAGAAAGATGGATGTATTAGTTGGTGAAAAGCGCGCGCTACAGAAATGTGATAATGCCACTTAGGAGGTCGTTGGTTGCGCGTGACTCCATTTTTATTGAAGATATTGCTAGTGTTTAAGAACAAAATACTAACAGATTGAAGGATGAACTTGTTTTTAGTGAAAGTGGACGGCTTAAAGCACCATAGGAATGTACTGAAAAATGAAATGTAAGAAATCAACACATAGACGAATTAGAATCCAGATTGAATTATAATGTTTGTCCAAAAAAACTTCATCTGTTACGATTAGTATTTTGTAAAACAACCATGTCCCTTTAACCATTCAGTAGTTAAACATAAAACTTAACACTGGGCAAACATTCTCGAAGCGTATTTAACACCATCACACAAAATGTACAATTTAATGATGTAGAGAGTTACATGGTAAAGGACTAAGGGAAACGATCGGATCCCATCACGAAGCGTGCAACGGTTGTTTATAAGCGATGTTGTCATTATCCGAAAGCGCCCATGCATACAAAATCCAGCCGAAGTGATATCGACCCCGGCGTCCTTGATAAGCCACTGGATGTTACTGACTAACTAGTGTTTTTGACGCATGAAAACAAAAAGATCCAAGACGATATCTCAGTTTACAAGGCGGGCTTTCTATCAAATCGCATTTATCTAAATCATCTTTTTGTTCGCTATGACAGCCAGTTTGAAGTCTTGTCAAGATATTTCGACGTTGAATCATTTACAAGCGACGAGTTTCAGTTGTGTCGTATTGCATTGCCCTCAGAAAATTCGCTATCAGAGCACCCTTAAAATTCGTTTAGAGAGTATCTTCTAGTATATGTTCCAGGGTCAGATCGCAGTCTCTCTCAGATGACATCGTGGTACCCTGTGTATTGTGGCTGTAAGGGACGACAACTCTGGGTTGTTTCGGTGTGACAGAAGAGAACTAGTTTGTGGTGTACGTTATTGAAATAAATACAGTCATTTCCGGTTTTTGGTTCTGGACTAATGTCTCCCATCGCTCATCTTCTGGATGTATTTGTCTAAACAATAAACTGTTACCAGATGGGGTATACAATAGATATGAAGCCAAGCCGGATGGAAGATGGACGAACGGCAATCGTTAGAACTAAACGAGGAACTGAAAGTTGACGTTAAATATTCGATTAAGAGCACTTATCTGACATTACACATGCTGATTCCGAGTATAATTTGCACAACCATCCCAAACTTCCTATCCATTTTCAGGAATCGATATAATGAAAGTTTACTACATATCGTTGAAAGTCCGTCTTCCTTTGAAGTACACTTTACATATTTCAGTTTTAGAAATGCTTCTTATAGAAGTTTTAAAGCAGATGTCTTCCAAACACCATGTCCACTTTCAGTATGCAACAATAACTCTTAACTTCGAATATCCCGAGAGACTATTTACAGACAACACCCGGTGCCTGTTTGTACCAATGATGCTGATTTTCTTTTACATTTAGAACTATGCATATATTGACGGTCTAAGGGAAATTTCAAATTGACATCTGCTGTGCTGCTCAATAATAAGATGATGTACATATTTGTCAGGATGTCAAAATCCATTTAAAAAATATGTCTAATATTTAGACCTCCCGATACATGCTAATACCTGTGATTATTAGAATGCAAAGGAACTTTTTTTTTTTTTTTTTTTTTGATATTTGAGTTTATTTATGACACGCGGGAGGAGTTATGTATCAGGGAAAATTTAACGAATATATTTTCTTTCGACGACACCCCAAAAATATTCCAGAGAAAACAATGCATCTTCTTAACCAACTCAATTCAGGTCAACGTAACAGCAGATACGTAGCAAGGGAAGTAACTCGTATTAATCATGATTCTTCTAGTTCTATAAAAATGCAATTTTATTTTAAATTGTTACAGCTTTTCACCAATAAAAATTCAAAATGACAATTTCCCAGTTTAATTGTACATGCACTTGTAAATTTTATTTGATTTGTTTATTTCTGAATTATTCTATTGCACGCTACTTACATTGCTACCAGCTGCGCTCTGTCATATAATAAGACAATCGTAGTTGTCTCCCCTAGTTCGTGTTTGCTCAAACACAAGGCCTCCTCCCTCCGCTCGCTAGTCAGGTGTTGTTCAAGTGTTAAAAAAAAGTCTATAGTACAATGTCAGCGAAACCAACGGATCTCCTACGTGTTCACATTTTGAAGCATTTAAATGGGCACACCTTTGCACGTGCTCGTTAACGGATATAGACACAGAGCTGTTAATTGGTACATTGTAGGTAAGTTGTATTATAATAGTATACAGCTCTGATTTGTTAACGGTCATTTTCTCTAGAGTTATGGCCATTTAACTTTAGGAATTTTAATAGATCAGAATTGAAGAGCCTTGCCAAACTCCAATGTGAATCATCTACAAACAACTTATTTCACATACTTTATCTTTTTTTACTTTTTTTTTTTTAGTCTGAAGTTCAATTTTGTTTCGGATTCTTCACCATAAATTCTGTAAGGATGGCTTGAATTTTATTCAACAAGTCATAAGTACCCCTCTTAACAAAGACAATAACACTATACGTTAGAGTTCCAAAGGCTCTTTTTTTGGCTGTTAACATTTAAAATGTTTCAAATTTGCCAGGGAGAGAAATCTATCTCCGCTTAGTAATAATGTTAATAATAATAATAATAATAATAATAATAATAATAATAATAATAATAATAATCATCGTCGTCGTCGTCGTCGTCGTCGTCGTCATCATCATCATCATCATCATCATCATCATCATCATCATCATCTCGTTGTTGACATTATTTCTCTTCTGTGTCGTTGGCTAGGTGAAACATGGATTATCTCCCTTTGATAAATTCCGCCTTACAGAGAGCATCATGATGGATGAAGATCTGGGTTTAATCATGCATTGTTCATACATTGACGATGTT